CAGTTTCGAATTCCAAATTACCGCTGTGTTCCTTGATTGCAGACTCATTTGCACAGGGTTAGCCTCGTATCAGTGTTTAAATATTCACAAATACCAACGGTAAAGTAAAGAATGCACAATTTCAACAATACAAACACTTTGAAACTCGACGGACCTTGACTGGAACACGTGAATATTCTACACAAAGTCGAGGCTAACCCTGTGCCAATGAGTCTGTAATCAAGAAACACAGCGGTAATTTGGAATTCGAAACGGGTCTATTGTAAAGTATATAATGGATAAAGAACAATGTAGTTATGAACGGGCAGAGAAATTGGCACTCCGATAGGAATAAGTATTACAACCAAACTCAGTAAAAGCTTTAAGGGACGTTTAAAATCACTATATTACTGTGTCATTGTTTTTAGCGAAAGCCCAATAAGATTCAAGTAAGTGTACTGAGTTTCCAAAGTTTAATACTGTTCATTCATTTACACAAAAAAGTACAGAAAAATTTTCATTCAATTTTTTTATCATTATTTTCAATTTTTAATGATACCGTAAATATATAGTTCTCGTAGAGTTCTACTAATTGCATAATGCATTTATAAAGTTTTTCTCTAGTAGTTTTACTTATAGTATTATTTCATATTAAGAAAGATTTTCATAGACATTCCGCTATTATGATTGCTATATATACTTATGTACTTCATAATCCGATTTCGGTTTGTGAAATTCAATAAAGATTTGATTTCATCAACATCATCATGCAACATCGTAATCTTTATTCTTATTACATCGTAAAATTATCTTAGTTATAATACATTTTCATATTGAACCGCATCTTATGACCCAACCCCACCAAGAATTTTTGCAGTAAAGAGGGAGGGCACCCTGACAAGGAAAGTTATTAAGGTTTGAAACAACGAATGCTGTCGAAAGTGAGCTTCCGCTAGGATTGAGGTGTCGGGTGTCACGTGTGGAAGTGCAGACTTGGGATCCGTTTTACGAAGGCTTCGGAGTTGTTTATAGTCTCCAAATAGCTTGCACTGGTATAGTTATTTGCTTTAGCGTGTATCAAAGGTAAAACGAGAGGGAATAAATTAAGAAATCGGCAAAAAGTTATTAAATCTTGAATTCGGTAGAAAATTAAAAAACTTCTGAATTCAGGGCATCATAAAAGTCCGAGTATGCATGGTAGAATGTTTAAACCTCTTGCACTGGGCTTAGTAGTGCCATGTAAGTTTATTGCGTGATTTTCATAGAAATGGAATCAATTCCAGGAAAGTTATTAGGGTTTGAATAATTAAAATTTGAGTAAACGTGCCAATTTTTTCTAAGTGTCGAGTGTTATAAAAACATGTCGCGAGCTTACGGCCGCATTGTGAGAAATAATATTGTCATCAGTGAAATGCCGACAGTTTTCTCAACAATAATATATGGTTTTTAGGTAGGGTTTACTTTCGATTTCGCGATTTAAGAAGCCAAAGTCGAATGTGCGGCTGAATGTGCGGCTAACTTCAGCACGGTCTTCTTTATCAGTATGGATCAGAGCTTTCATCATTGTTAAACAAGCATGCACCTTCAAAGGTCCGAATTGTCACTCTGCGTCCATTTTCCCCATTGTACTCTGATGCAATAAGAACTGAGAAAATTAAAAGGAGGAGACTTGAAAGAACTTGGAGCAAAACGGGCTTAACAATAGATCGTGATTTGTACAATAACCAATGCAAAGTGGTCCAAAACTTGATCAAAACATCTAGGGATGAATATTATTCCAATATTATTTCTGATCACAAATCTGATCAAAAAATTAAGTTCTCTACTTTTGAAAAACTTAATCATAAAAATGCTTCTCCTCTCTATCCATCCTGTCTCTCTTCCGCCAAGTTAGCAAACTCTTTTGCTGATTTCTTTTTTAACAAGATAAAGGCTATTCAAGATGGATTTATGCATGATGACACTGTCAACTCTAAAGATATAAAGACTGATTCACCTACGAGCTACCTTACATCTTTCAAAGATGTCTCAACAGAATACCTTTCTAAGTTAATTAAGCCTTTGATCTCAAAATCATGTGACCTTGATCCTCTACCATCAACAATTTTTAAAAAACTATTTAGACCTCCTGCTTCCTATAATAACGAACATAGTAAATCTTTCTCTAAAAAATGCTTGTGCACCATCAAGTCTCAAACAGGCACTTATTAAACCGGTGCTCAAAAAATCAAACCTTATCGCATGAAGAATTTTCAAATTTTAGGCCGATTTCTAACCTAAAATTCATTTCTAAAGTTGTCGAGAAAGTTGTTGCTGTCCAACTTCTAGAGCATCTTGAGGAAAACAACCTTCATGAAAAATTTCAATCGGCATATAAGCAAAATCATAGCGTCGAGACTGCACTCCTCAAAGTACATAATGATATTCTATTAGCAATTGATAACCAGCGCTCCATTATTCTTGTACTTCTTGACCTATCTGCTGCATTTGACACCGTAAGTCATCAAATTCTTTTTCAAAGGCTTTCTGATAAATAAGGTATCAATGGGAAAGCCTTGGAATGGATTAAGGCATATCTTTGTAACAGGTCTTTTCGTGTTAATGTGAACTCTAGTATCTCTAAATCCAATTCATTTGAATGTGGCGTACCGCAGCGCTCGATCTTAGGCCCAATCTTATTTCTACTTTACATTGGACCACTTGGTGACATTATTCGGAAGCATAATTTAGAATTTCATTTCTATGCTGATGACACACAGCTTTACATAACTTTTTCGACCTCATCAGAGCTGGAGGTCGAGGATGCCAGGCGCGTGGTTGAGGCATGCGCTGTTGACATCAAGAAATGGATGACCAAGAATATGCTAAAGCTGAATTCAGATAAAACTGAGATAGTTGTTTTATCAAATAGTCATCGACCAAGACCTGCTGTAATTATTATTGCACTGGAAAATGCGTGCCTACTTTAATGTTGTTGTTTTTTTCTTTTTTTCCTAATTTGGTGCGATTTCAAAAGTTTTAATCCTCATCAGAAAATCAAGATAGAACTGAGTTTTGATTGATACAGCGTGGCAACGAACACTCGTATTCTATCTAAAGTACGGTTGGCTCTGCAAATATTGCTTACGCCCAATAACTGGTTTACACTTGCGATGACATCTTTCTATAAATACCGTGTGTTTTATGACTTAAGGCTTATACGCACAGGCTTCGCTCAGGTTTCGTGCTAATAGGAGCTTACAAAAATCCAGGAATATAAATAACTAAAATAATAAGACAGGTTTCCTTTAGAACAAGCGCCTTACTAAGTGTTGGCAGAGAAAACGCTTTTATTTTTAACTTCATTTGTCTACAATTTTACCCAATATGAGTTTCGGCTCTTTCTTAGTGTTGCAGAGCACCTGAGCCACGAAGACAATAAAAGAAATAGCCGAGAACAGTGAGTTTGGAGCTAAACAATACCCTGCAATACAATAACCCTAACCCAGAATACTATACATCTTGCAACACCAAGACCCGAAGTTTCAAGTCGTTTTCCAGGGCCATGGAAAAAATTCAGGAGTTTTCCAAGAATTCCAGGAGCAGTTCGAAACTTGTTAGCCCACCTTAAGCGCAAGTCATTTGCGAAAGTCAACTGTAATATAAAGGATGTACGACTTGAACAATACCAATGTTTTAAAATCCAACAGATCTTTAATTCTATCTGTGAATAGGCGACTTATAAACGAGGCGAAGTCTGTGCAAATGAGTCTGTGGTCTTCAAAAACAGCGGTATGTAGTCGAATGCGAAACTGGTGTATATGCAACCAAGCACAAAAAGCATGGATAATCATTTTATTTCTAGATACTTCAGCTTGTGGTTGCACTGCAAATGTAAACCTGGACCCACAAATTCCTTCGTCGTGAAGTGTGTAAAATTAAGAAGATTCCGTTCGTAAAAAGAGAATAAATAGACTCCAAAGATTCAAGAATTCGTTTCAATCCGCCATGTTTTATTTTACTCGTCACGAGCCCCATGATGCCTCGCGCACTTAACTAATTACAAATTCAACACACTCCCCCCGTTGGGAAGCAATTCTTACTGCTTGCTAAGAAACTATAATAGAGTTCCAATTTATAACTAACAAATTCAACGATGTCAACGTTAAATGCAAAAGTTCCTTATTAATGTTGTGGTTCTTCTGAAACGTCCTTCATTCTTCTTCCTTGTCGTTTATCTCTAAGGGGTACAACTTCTGTAACGGCCTCTTTAAGACAGATGGTGCTCTCTTCTTTGACTTGACTCTAACGACTGCTCCACGGATCTGGTTGTCAGCTCCAGCGATGAGCTTCTCTATTCTGCCGAGTCTCCAGAATCCTCGAGGCTGCTCATCATCCCGAACGATAACAACATCACCGTTCCTTGGGGTGTCTGCTTTACCCCTTTTCCTTGCAGAGTGACGGTGTATTTCTCTCAGCTCCAGTAGATACTCGTTTCGCCACCTGAGCCAGAAATGGTCCATCAAATTGCTCAGGTGTTTCATTCTCTTGTTCAAGTCTTGTTCATGGACGGCGGAGTCCAGGCTTGTCATCACATTCGCATCTGGAAGGTTTAATAATCTTCGACCACAAAGTAAGTGAAACGGCGTCAGCGGTTCTGCCATGTCATCAACTGTCACATACGATAATGGTCTAGAGTTGAGTATCGCCTCAACCTCGATCACTGTAGTGAGCAGTTTTTCATATGTGAGACTTGCTCTACCCAATGTTTTCTTTAAACATCTCTTGGTAGACTTCACTAGTCTTTCGAAGACTCCTCCCCACCAAGGGGCCCTTGGCAAATTGAATAACCATTCAATTCTTTGTTCTGCCAAATATCGGCGTACTTTAGAGTCATTCATTAATGTTGTTATCATCTTGCTTGCGGCTTGGAAGGTGGTTCCGTTATCTGATATAATTTTTGATGGTAGACCTCGTCTGGCTGTAAATCGTCTTAAGCTTCTCATGAAGGCTTCTGGCGTCATATTTGGTACAACATCCAAATGTAAGGCTCTTGTCACACAGCACGTGCAGAGACAAATCCATACCTTGTAACTTGGTTTCTTCTTTCCTTCACTTACATGAAAGGGTACTGCAAAATCGATTCCAGTGAAGGTGAATGGTGGTGATTCCTTGATTCTTGACTCTGGAAGTGACGGCGATAAAGGTGCGTTGTAGGGTCTCCCTTCGAACTTACGGCAAACAACGCAACCATGGATAACCTTTCTCACTGTGTGCCTTCCCTTGATCAACCAGAATCTTGCTCTCAGTTCTGTGAGAGTGTCCTTTACTCCATTATGCATCACCCTCGAGTGATAATCCCTTATTAGAAGCGCTGAGAATTCATGATTAGCATCCAATAGTATTGGGTGCTTAGTTCCGTAAGGTAGGTTTGCATTGGATATTCTTCCTTCGCATCGCAGGATTCCATCTTCATCAGTGAATACTCCGAATTCTTGTTTCCAGTACTTAAACCGATGATTCCTTGACATGTTGCCTTGTGCTTCCCTAATCCAAAGTAGCTCTGCTTCCTTCAGATCAGTCTTTGTGATGTCCTTCACTTCTTCATCCTTTCTGATCTCTTTAGACGTTGACCTAAGAACTCTAGTTGATCCTTGTTCCTTCTTTCTGACCTTCATTCTTGATTGAAGGATCCTGACAAACTTGATGACCATGGCTGTAACTCGTAAGAGTCTTTGGAGGCTGCTGAACCTCTCACATTTGATAACATCATTCATGCACTTTGGTTGTTCTTCCGCAGTTACTAGTACAACCTGCTTAACTTGCTTCGTAACTGTCATTTCGTCAAAGCATTCAGCTGGTGGTTCCATCGATGAGTCCTTGTCTTGACTAGGTTCTTGACTGGGTTCGCTCAGCCATTCCGGACCATGACGCCAAGTTGAGCAAGATGATAATTCTGGTGCGCTCATTCCACGTGATGGAATATCTGCGGGGTTTTCAATACACGGACAGTGCTTCCAAGAGGGTGCGGATACAGGTGTTCTTATTTCACGAACTCTATTTTGAACGAACTGTTTCCATTCCTTATCAACTTGTGTTATCCAATAGAGAGCTACTGTCGAGTCACTCCAACAGGTAATGCTATCTGCTGGAACTTCGCTCTCCAATGCCTTGATTATAGTCGTGATGAGTCTTGCTATGATCAGTGCTGACAAAAGTTCTAACCGGGGAGTGGACTGTGTGTCCAACGGAGCTACTCTTGTTTTAGATCCTACAAACCTGACATAAGTACCAGTGGTGGTCCTAACTTGTAAGTACACTACGGCTGCGTACGCCTTATTTGAAGCATCGCAGAATCCATGGTAGTTGCAAGACAAAACCTGCTCCTTGATCTCACCAAAATAGCAACGGTCTAACAGAATAGGCTCCGAGTTCCGTAATGTTTCAACTATTTTCCTCCATCTTTGTTTCAATTCATCATTCAACTCTTCATCCCAACCAACCTTTGTAGTGCATATATCTTGTAAAAGTATCTTTATTTGTAGAGTGACTGGAGATAAGAATCCAATAGGGTCGTAGAATTTTGCAGCATCAGCCGCAACGTTTCTCTTAGTAGGCTCAAGGCCATTGGCATACATTCCTAGAGAGTTCAGATCATAAATGAATTGATCTTCCTTAAAGTTCCACTGTACTCCTAGGATCTTGTGGATTGTTGTACTGCCATTAGACTTGTTAGGGGTTTGTTCCTCACCGTGGGTGTCAATGTTTGAGTGGTGCAACTCTGATGTAGGGGATGAATTCATGCACTCCTCTATGCYTGCTTCATTGTCTTCTATTCGCTGCCTTAATTCTGCAGAGTTGGAAATGAACTTTCTAAGATTAAATCCTCCTTCAGCTAGTCTGACCTTAGATTTCAAGTAGAGTTCATACGCCTGCTCTACTTTCTCAGCTCCTGTGCTAACATCATCTACATAGGTTGCACGCRTCATAGTGTCCACGAAGTCTGGATCTTGTTTTCTGTACCGTTCCAAATGAAAGTTTAGAGTTGCATTTAGTAGAAATGGGCTCGAAGTTACTCCAAATACAACTCTAGTGAATCGTAAGACCACTACGTTGGGAGTGTCTTTAGTGACATCGTCAATCCAAAGAAATCTTAAAACATCTCTATTTTCCTTGATTACAGATATGTTCAGAAATGCCTTCTCTATATCACCAGCTAAAGCTACCTTGTAAGATCTGAATCTCAGAATGATGTCCATTATCTTCTGTGACATAGCAGGACCAGTGTAAAGACAAACATTTAGGGAAGGACCCGTTGACTTGCATGAGGCATCATAAACAACTCGCAACTTTGTTGTACTTTTGTCCTTCCTTACAACTGGATGATGGGGTAAGTAATGGACCTTACCTTCTTCACAAGGTTCTGACTTATCCACCACCCCAACAATTCCTCTCTCTACCTGATCTTTGATGACAGCGTCATATTCTAGCAGCATATCAGGTTCTTGTCGTAGTCGTGTGAGTAATCCATTCAAACGCGTTAGACTGAGTTCATAATTGTCTGGAAGGGCTGGTCTTGGATCCTTCCAGGGTAAGTGCACTTCATATCGTCCTTCCTTGAATGAGATGGTATCAACAAACTCATCGTACACTGATTTTTCTGGTTGTGTAATGCCCAATGTTTCTAAGTCCCAGAAGGTTCTGAGATCACAATTGATATTACTGGTTCTTAGGGCATGAGTCTGTGTTACAAGGTTTAATGTGGCACCTGTGTCATGTTGGGCATCTTCTTCCATGGRTCCAGAAAGGACCCATCCCAGTTTGGTATGTAGTGCTATTGGAMCACTCTCCCCTTTAACCACACACCCTGTCACTAGTTTCCAATACTGATCAGATCCAATAAGAATATCAATCTCCGCATCTTGGTCACCAGCAATGGGATCTGCTAATTTCAAGTTGGCTAGGTGATCATATCTTTCTTGGGCTTCTAACACTGTTTGTCTAACAACAGGAGTGCAAATAAAGGGGACAGAATATGCTGCTACCTTGATATTCTCCCCATCCTGGGTTTTAAGATTAAGCTTAACCACAGGACAGTCAATAGGTTTCTCACTTGTTGTACCAAAGGCTTGAATAAGCATAGATTCTGTGTGTTCAACTGGTAGATTCAAGGCTGACTTTACCTTGTTACTGACATATGATCTTTGACTCCCCCCATCCAGAATAATTCTAACATTCATACTTACAGTTGAGTCTGATCTTGAAACTTGAGCTTGGGCTGTTTGAAGCAATATTGGAGTTCTCGTATTGTCATACAGTTGTGTAGATGGRGTATTCTTGAGATTCGAGTTGTTTCCTGGAATGCTCTGTGTAGCTGTAGGTTTGCCTGGTGCTTGTGATACTGATTGTTCAATATTACTTCCTTGGTTACATATGCTGATGTGATGAAGTCCCTTACACTTGTTACAGTTCCCCTTGGATCTACATTCCTTGCTAACATGACCCCTCCTTAGACAAATAAAACACCTTCCACTGCTCATCAATATCCTCTTTCTTGCAGCTATGTCTGTGA